ATGACTCCTCCCTCTAGAACTCTCAGGTCCCTCGTGGACAAGTAAATTGGCCAGTGGCTTGCATGTCCCTTCCCAGTGACAAGTACAAGGAGCAGAAAACAGGTTACCAGACAACGACAACCAGCATGATTTTGAAGAATCGGGTCTTGATCATGGCTCCCATCCGCCTCTCCTTCTCCGTGTAGACGCCTTGTCTCCCTTTTAGTAACGAGGCCACTGTGAAGAGAGGGCATGCGCGATGCTCAGGACAGAGGCAGGGAAGCCCTGGAGCAGAGCCCAATGGTAACATCTTACGCGACCTGGTGACCTCTGTCACCGATGAAACCGGACTTTGAGTTTTACTAGTTCAGGAGCTACATTTTAAAGATTTACATTTTCTGTGATAACAGTGAGCCCTAGCTGGCATTGCTCAGTGGATAGAGCGTTGGTCCACGGGTCACAGGTTCAATTCCTGGCCAAGGGCACGTACCTGGGTTGCAAGTTCTATCCCAGGCCCTGGTCAGGGCGCGTGTGGGAGGCAACCAGTCAATGTGTCTCTCTCACATCTGTGGAGAGTGGCTACAGTGTTTGGACAGGTTCAAGCCTCGGACTAATGAGAGGGCACGGTCCTCTCATGGCCACGTGCAAGTCCCAGCTTGGAGGGCAGAGCCTTCCCGGCACAATTATAGCCAACAGCTGTAGTTGTGAGCTTGAGCCTATGGTCCGAACACGTGGCCCCACGTGCCTGAGTGATGTGGGCTTGATAGAGTTCAGGTGCATGGAGTTGAGTAGGGTCGAAACCCACAAGAATGCTGTAAACATCTTGACCACGCCCTGACTTTGCCTCGTGGCATCTGCTATAAAATAAAGACAGGGCTTGTAGTCCGAGGCGCTGTCGCTAGCTCTCCATCAGAGAGGACAGCGTCCCACCCAGACCCAGCTTTCTTCTCTTGTCTGTCTTTTCTCCATCCTTCACCGCCCCCTCTCAGGGTCACCGAACCTGGCTGAGCTGGCTGGCACATAAGGCGCCCTGGGGCTGAGTATGCCGTGGTCGTGCCGGCTCGCCACACACATCCATGTTTCTCCCCCTCTCTCCCTTCCAGTCTCTCTGGAGATCAAATGGAACATATCCTCGGGTGAGGATTTAAAAGACACGTTTCAAGTTCTCCATCATGGCCGCCATGGTTCTCACTGCGGGTGAGATTCCCGTGGGGAGGCGGAGCCGTGCGGAGGGGACGGGCGGGCGGATGAAGCCCCAGCCCCAGCCCAGATGCCTTCCCAGTGCGTCCTGCTGACCACGGCCCCTCTCAGCCGGCCTCACGCCGCAGGACTCATCTCCTGTGCTCTGCCTCCTGCTCGGCTGAGACCAGACGGGGGCCAAGTGCATTCTAGGAGGAAGCAGGCCCTCCGGCCCTCACCCCCTCCCTCCCGCTCCGGCCTCCCTCCAGTTTCCCAGCTGCTCCGGCGTCTCCAGGCCACAGTGGGGCGGCCAGGGGAGCCCAGGTGGGCGGGAAGCCCGCAGGTGCTGCCT